GATTTCAGTTTTGTAGTTTTTCGCTGAGGTTTTCTGTTCAGGGATTGTCTAGGTTAAAGGAGCTACGTCACGGTTTGCGCGTCTCGAAAAGTTTAACCTAAAATTTTTCAAGTTCATCGTTTGTAATCCGTGTCAATCTTGTCCATCCTTAATCATCCTTCTTCATTGATGGTTTACTATTATTTGTTATGTGTTTTTTCACCCTAGTAAACTAGTATTTTTAGGTTTCAATCAATTTAAAGGTAATTTTGTACGTGGCCAAATAACACAAAATACCGTGACTGAAATCCTTTGAGGGGAGCTTTTCCGAGTTAATTACCAGGGCAGGGTCGTTCAAAGCCCGATTAAGCTAACCCAGGATTAGCGAAAATTTTAATTTCAGTTTTGCAACTCACGTGTTTTCCAACTTGTCACTGACGTTTTCTGTTAATATTGTCACGGTTTGCCCTACACTTTTGAATTAAAATAATCTCAATTGATACAAAACATTTCTATACAAAGAAAGATTAATATATATTTCGGTTAACTTTTAATACTCGGTTAACGTTTAATAGCTGGCTTTCGAAGCCGTTTCCTCTATAAAGTAGTTAGGACTGGGAAGACGGTGTGCGTGAATTTTGATAAAAGTAACTGGAGAAAGCAGTAATTTATAATCAAAGTGATCTACAGTTTTGCCATCTTATTTTAAAACTAAAAGCAATGTGAACAAAACTGTTTGACACCATTTTTTGCTTCCCTCTTCAGTCAGGAAACAATGTCTTAGCACTTCATTGACGGCCGAAGCTTAAACTAAGAACCCAGTGATATGGTCTCGGGCAGCCGAGACAACTTCAGCCTCTCCCTGAGGCAACTGCAGTATCGAGAGTTTATATGTAAAAGCGTAGTCCCTGTAGGCCGAGTCAAAGTTGACCCCGCATGATTATTCATAACCCTTATTGAATAATTAATTGTGCCAATATCCCCCTTTCTTTGAGTTTCCCTCGGTCATTCGATCACAGTGGGTTTTGCTGAGTTAATTTTCACTTATTTGATACGAATTTCTGCTTTAAATCCTAAAACTAGGCATTACGTGAAACTCGCCAAGCCAGGAGTTGTCCCGGTTAGACGAGCCAAAGCGTTTATATGAAGAAAAGTTGTCCCCCTTGTCAGGGTTACCCTACCTGCCGAGATGAGACAACTCGCCCATCCGAGTTGTCTCGCCTCCCGAAACAAATTCGCGATTCTCTTGTAAACGGTTAGTTGAATTTTGTGAAGAAATGAGCTAAAAGTTACTTCTGCCGGGTAACTCGGGAAGAGGGTTGTCTCGCGTATCCGAGACCATATAAATGGGGCCTGAGGAAGTAACTTAATTTTTCGTTTCAGAAAAGAAAGCCACGCTAGTTTTAGTTCTGGGTGTTGAAGCGAAACAATAAATATTGAATATTGCTTTTATATCATAAAGGAAAATTGAGTATTGCTTTAAGATCGTGCGTTAAGGATTGAATATGATGTACTTCGTTTTTCAACTCAGAAGCAAAGAATGTCTGTCAACGCGAAACAAATCAAGACGACATAAGCTAACACGAAATACAAATTATTCGTGAACTTCTAATTCGGCTATGAAATAAGGACAGTAATGCAGCGAAGAAAATCACTTGCTGTGTTCGATAGAACACAGTTCTAATCGCGTAATGCATAAAAATTCGAGATCTGTGTATGTACCTATCTGGGGACACTAATTTGTCCCCCCACCAAAAAAAAAAATGTTCAGATGCAAATGACGTCATCTCTTTGCTCATCAATGTATTTTCTTTCGAGTGTTGCGCAATATTGTGGACTTTCGAGTGTCGAGGCAGCTTATTGTAGACTGTAGCGGACACTGAAGTTGGTTATTTTTAAGTTCGAAGTCAGTGTTAACAGTGGCATTTGAAAACCTTGCAGACATGTCTTCACGAAATGTGTAAGACTTTTCAAGGCAGCTTATTGAAGACTACAACGGATAAGTTATTGATTTAAAGTTCGAAGTCAGTGTTAATGGCATTTACAAACCTTGCAGTCAAGTCTTCACGAAATGTGTACGACTTTTTGTACAAACAGAAAGCTGTAGTTTGGCTGCGTGTTGTGTACCCTCTTCTCTTCGACAGAAACCAACGCTGCTTTCTGCTGAATAAATTAAAGAAGGAAATGTGTAGTTTCAGTCTCTCGCCTAGATTTCTGTGCACAAAATGTGTAACATAAACCCAACGCGC